TAAGCATTAACACTACATGCTATCTGCTTTTGCACTTGTTTAGTTTTCTTAGCAACTCTGTGCCTGAAGTATAATTATTACTTTATCTTGTAGGATTGTTAGGAGCCGGTGCGTATGTAAGGAGCCATTGGAAGCTGTGCGCATGCGCAATGGGTAACTTTGTAACTTTCCTGCCCTTAGTCTCCGCCCCTCCCGTGACGTCATATGGTTTGATCAGCTGACGTCACATGGTCCGAGGGTTTCAGCCAGTCAGAATGTAACACTCCTGAGGCGACGGTTGCCAGCCTATATAAGGAGGGGTTTTCCGGCGTTCTGGGTCTCCATTTTGTAAGCTTATGCCTTTCCTCTCAAGAGGCATTAAAGCTTTACTGCAGAAGGATCCTGAGGAGTGTCCCCGTGTCGTTTTTGCTGGCGAGGCGGTTAGCGCGGGACATAGGATGAAGTCTTGGAAAATTTGGTTGAGGTCCCCACAGCTAGTAAATGGAAGAGCCAGGATTCAAACCGAGCCCTGAAAGCTCTCATTTTTTTTTGTCCATGATATGACTTTCCAATACACTTTATCCCTCAGTGTGTCTGTGTTGAATCAATTCCAGAATGTTCCTGGATACCAAAATCTGAGGATGTTCAAGTCCCTTATATAAAATGGCCAGTTTCATGTAAACCACTAGAAATCCTCTGGTTTACTCCAAATCACCTCCAGAGTATGTATAACACCTAATGCAATGTAAATGTTAGGTGAATAGTTGCTACATATACTCTTTAGGGAACGATGGCAAGGATAAAAGATGTCTATATCCAGAGCAGGCACAATTTTTAATCTGCAGTTGATTGAGTTTGTGCATGTGAAAGCTGCAGATAGGGAGGGCAGAGTGTTGCTATGAAGGTGAAGGTAGACCAGTTAGTTGTTTAGGTTTGTTCTCACAGGGTACTTCACAACTTACAGACTCAGCTATTTCTGTGTCTGCTTTCCAGCTTTACAAATTCAAACCTAATGTTCTAAATTGGTTCATACAGGAATGGAATATTATAGAGCAGGAGCCTGCCAGAGGGATTCTGGGAGAAATGTGAGTAGACACATTTTTGTATAAAGATGGGGAGTTAAGTTTCAAGAAAGACACAGTCATGGAGAGGCAGTAAATACAAAGAGCAAGACCAAAAGATATGTCCAGACTATCCTAGAAATCATACAGGTCTCCACTGACCAACCAAATGACAACAGAAGACCCTGAAGAAGTAGAGAAACAGAAAGGTATGTGGGATTATTGGGTTCCCTTGATGAAAAGCAATCTTTGTGTAACTGAAGACTTATTGCGACATCAGAACCCACCTTTGCAGCTCTTGGGGTAGGGGATACAGGAGCAGAAGCCAGACAGCTCTCTGAGGTGCTCTGATTGACCCCACTAAGCAACCATACTAGAAACTAAGCTATAGTTTATTTAGCCTGCTTTACCCACTTTGCCTGTAAGTATAAATGTTTAATTTATATTCATGGGGATCAGTCCATTGACGATATGGTCCATTTCCACTTAGCCATAGCTGATTGGACCTCCTGAGTTGAGGAGCTGGTCAACAACTGTTCGGGATCTGTTTAGAAGCCATGTGTGGTAATTCATGCTTGTAATCTCAGCACTAGCCAGAGGCAAGAGTATTACAGCAAGTTCAAGGCCAACTTGCTTTACATAGTGAGTGTCAGGCCATCCAGGGCTATCTATTAAGACTGTTTCAAAGAATCAATCATGCTATTATAGTGTTACTTAACATGTAAACTGTATTGCTATACATAAAATAAAATGTGGGTTTAAAAATTTTAAGAAAGGGGCTGAGAAATGGCTTAGTACAGCAACTCTCAACCTTCCTAACACTGTGACCCTTTGATAACAGTTCCTCATGCTGTGGTGACTCCCAGGCATAATTATTTCATTGTTACTTCATAACTGTAATTTTGCTACTGTTGTGAATCATATCTGTTATAAAACCCCAAGAGGTTGTGACCCACATATTGAGACTGGCTTATCAGCTAAGAACGGTTTCTGGTCCTCCGGGGGACCTGAGTTTAGAACTCAGCACTCATATCAGGTTACCAAGCATCAGTCCACTTTTCCTCTCTAGCATTCCGCTTCCCAGAGACTAACACAATGGCTACTCACCTCAGCCTCTTCTCACTGAGGGCTGTGTGAAGATTTAATGTGTGTACTAACTTGGCTGAGCTGACATGCCCAGAAAGATGGTCAAACATGAATAAGATTAATATTTAAATTGGTAGAATCTGAGAAAAGCTTCCAAGACTTGAACTGAATAAAGTCTGACTTCCCCCAGGCAAGGAGGGTTTCTGCCAGTTGATGGTTTTCAGGGTTGGATTGCAATATTCACACTTCCATGGGTCTCCCAGTTTTTCGTGTAGATTTTGAATGTGCCAGCTATTATAATCCTATGCATTATTTCATTATCTCTGTGTGTGTGTGTGTGTGTGTGTGTGAGAGAGAGAGAGAGAGAGAGAGAGAGAGAGAGAGAGAGAGAGAGAGAGAGAGAGAAGAGAGAAGAGAGAATGCTACTGTTTCTTTGGAGAACCTTGACCACACAGTTATTGATGGATAAATGGATAACTACTACCACTTGTGGGTTGTTTATTTGTTTTGTTTTGTTTTTTAGTCTGTATGAGTTAGGGACTTTGCTTCTAACTCAGTCTCACAGAAAAGAACACTCAACACTACAAAGTAGAACACGTTATAAAAACTCCCTTCCCTTGTGTATTAAATCTCATTAGATTCCATTTTAGAGTAACCTTCCTGACCTTGTCTTCAGATTCCAGCTTAGCTCAGTGTTTCAAGTAGTGGGAACGTATAAATTAGCCAGGAGATTACTTGTCATGCTTTAACACCAGCAATAATAAGTACTGATTCTGGACCTATATTGCCAGCAAATCACAAATCTCCATAACCTCTATCTGCACACAAATGTCACTGGTATCTGCAAGTGCCAGAGAAGAGATGCTAATTTGCAAACTTTTATTGGCTGTAATTTGTCTGAAGATGGTGAATGGAATCACAAATCAAGCTAAGGGGTGTGTTTTGGTACCCTTCATCGGTATACCAAGTTGTTGAAAAGATGAGGTGAGGGTGTGTCAAGAATAGAACCTTAGATCAGTCAGTCAATCATGCAGTCAGTTTGGGATCTTTTACTTATTTCAGTTAACCAATAACTCTTTTAGAGAGGAGAGAGAAGATGAGGAAATGGGCAGCACTTACTAAAATTGTACTTGAATCTTGTGGCAAGTGACAAGGATGCTATGTAGACCATAAGAGTATCCATGTTTTTATACAAAATTAGGATCAATTATAATAAAACACGAGAAAGTTGCATGTACTAAGAAATAAAAAGGCAAACATAATAATATATAGGTCAAAAGGTTAGACTATGACAAAAAACAATCGCCCATGAAATTGCATAATGAAAATTCTACATACTAAAACTTGCTCAATGTAGTCAAATGGAACTAGATGAAATAACGATATCTTTATGATTGCCCATATTAGGAAATGAAAAGATACCCAAGGAATGAGCAAAGAATTCAGTCTAAGAACTGAGAAAAAGTAATAGAACAGACCTAGTGAGAAGGAAGAAAAAAAGGAAAATGAAATTAGTGATTGCCAAAAGTAGAAAACAGTGAGATGAATGCCCAAGCAAAAACTGATTCCTTGAACAGGACAAAGCTCTCACAGTACTTACCAAAAGAGCAAACAGAGGAAGAGAAGCACAAATGAGTCACTTTAATTATGAAAGGGCTGATGTAACCTAACCATAAATGCAGCAGAGTTCAGAGCTTAGTGGAGAATAATAAAGATGAGCATCTCATCAAGTTCTGAAAATACAATTGAAATGGAAAACCAAAACTGCTTAGAGACTGGATGGAAAACCAGACAGCCAGTCACAGCACAGAAAATGAACCAGTGGTTGCTAATAGATTGTTTAAAGAGCCATCGGGCCCAGATTTTAAAATATATTTTATTTTAAAGTAATTATAAAATCGAGGGTCACAAAAATAGCACTGAACATGTAATCTTCACCAGCTTCCTCTATTAATGTTTTATACAACAGCTCGCCAATAATCAGGACCACAATGTCACCATTGGAATAATAAACAGGAACACAAAAAACTTAAAACATTTTATTTGTTTTTCTGACACCCTCTAGGGCACTGGTTCTCAACTTTCCCAATGCTGTGACCTTCTAATGCAGTTCCTCATATTGTGGTGACCCCTAACCATAAAACTGTTTTTGTTCCTATTTCATAACTGTAATTTTTGGGACTGTTATGAGTTGTAATGTAAACATCTGTGTTTTCTGGTGGTCTTAGGCAACCCCTGTCAAAGGGTTGCTCAGCCCTAAAGGAGTCGAGACCCACAGGTTGAGAACCACAGCTCTAGGGATTTAATTCAGGGTTCCAAATTGCATTCAGTTATCATATATGCTTATTCTCTTTCTATCTGTGACATTGTCTCAGCATTTTTGTGGTTTTTCATGATTTTTTTTTTTTTTGAGACAGAGTTTCTCTGCGTAACAGCCCTGGCTGTCCTGCAACTCACTTTGTAGACCAGACTGCCTTCAAACTTACAGAGATTTGCCCACATCTGCCTCTGGAGTGCTGGGATTAAGACATGAGCCACCACTCTCTGCATAGTTTTGGTACTTCTGAAAAGTATCGGTAACTCATTTTGTGATGTTTGAGTTTGCAGTGTTTCCCTATGATTCTACTGAGGTTGTACCATAGGGGGGAAAGAAAACAATACTATTTTATATTCTTGGTGCATCCAACACAGAGAATGAACGTGATGTCAAGATAGTGTAGCTAGAGGTAGTGGCACATGCCTTTAATGCCAGCACTCAGGGCGCAAAGGTAGACAAGTCTCTGTGCATTCAAGGCCAGCATGGTCTACATATCGAGTTCCAGTCCAGCCAGGGCTATAGAGAGATCTTGTCTCAAAAAAAAAATCTTACCACTTTCAACATGGTGACCCTGGCAGGTCACTCTTCCCAGGCTCTGTCTTAGTGTTATAGGAGAGCATAGGACTCTGCCCCATGATATACAGGCCCTTTCCACAACATTAGAAATGAGACTGGACTGACTGGACTCTCTGTCTGTGCCAGCGCATTCCTCTGACTTTCCAGAGTCCTGTGGACAATGACTAAGGAGACAAAGCACGCAGGAAGCAGTCCTGGAGGAAGAAAAATACGTACCTTATTATAGATGACTTATTACTTACTAGTGCTGGTATATATAGCTCTAGCTTCTGAAGCCTACTTAATGGCTGGAGGATGTGACACAAATCACACCATGTTTCTGTTCTCTGGGAAGAAGGGAACTTTGACCTTAAAGTCATAGGACCAGATCATCTTGGAAAAGAAACAAACGCTTGAGTGCTGAGAGTTAATCATATTCCTTAATTCATAGCTGATTGTCAGTGTTAGTGCACAGAAAGCCCCTCTTGCTTTATGTAATTTATTTGCGACTATCCATTCATGTTTTCCAAACTAATAAACACAGTATCTTTATAAATATGTGTTGGTTTGTGGTGTGTGTGTGTCATCTTTGCTGTTTTGCTGTAGGTGTTAAATGGCATTGTACAGCATCTGATGTGAAAGCCTGGATTAGTGTCTGGGGTATTAAGTAGACCATCCCTTCCATAGGACCTCAGGATAATGTGCTGATGAATAGACTTTATTGCATTTCTATGGTTTTCTGTGCCCTTTGAAATGTGATTAGTTCTTTTAAGACTCATGGACCCTCATGATACTGAGCTCATAAATAATTAAATCCAATTAATACTCCAGACTGAACCAAACCTAATTCATTTCAAGTTCTGGTTCTCGGCAGAGGACGCCTCGGTTCACTACTTCTGAAATAATATTGCACCTTATTCCAGCTTCCCTTCCATTCATTTTGGTAATAAAATGCGGGGACAACAGAGAGAGAAAGAGTTGTGCGTGTAGGACTTACGTTAAAATATGCTGCTTTATTACTTAAGGAGATTTAAGAAGAGTAGAGCAAATGATATAGCAAAGTATATGCTTCTAAAGTTTTTCTTTGAAATAATTTCTGAAATGTGAAATAATGTTTGAAAAGGCACTAAGATAATATAAAGCACATCACTACGAGTCTCTCTGAAGGCTTCCCCGACTACCCCCTTCCACCTCTCAAGCCACCATTTTCCTTGGTTCCGTGTTTCTCCTCTTCATGGCAGCACCTGTGTTTTTTCCCACTCACGTGTGCAACCAAAATGATGGCATTGTTCTGGAGATTTGGAACTTTACATAAATGGTCACATTATTTCATCACTTTTTAATTGGGAAAATTGCAAGTATTTTCTTACTAATGTGTGTGACTCTAATTCATTCAAATTCTCCTACACTTGTTTTCTTGTGTGGCTGAATATTTTGGCTAGGAGCAACAGTGCTGCTGCAGAAATACCCCTTAACCCATTGTGGGCTTGAGAGGGTATTTCCCTCACGTGACCATTGGTTGATAGGCATAAAATGCAAACCATTCAAAAGATTCATTCAGAAAATACAGGCTTAAAAAAAGAGCAGGACGGCCTGGAGAGATGACTCAGCAGTTAAGAACACCAGCTGCTCTTCTAGAGGGCCTGGGCTTGATTCCCAGTACCACAAGGCAGCTCACAACTGTCTGTAACTCCAGTCCCAGAGGATCCAATGTTTCTGTCCTCCAGGGGCATTACGTGCACATTCAGGAAAAACACCCATACACAAAAAATAAAATGAAGATTAATTAAAAAATAAGAACAATAATCTAGTCTAATTTCTCTCTAGGTGTTGTATAAGAGCCCAGTAAAATTGTAGAATGTTTGATGTTTCTAATAGGACAGCCTTGATAGTGATAAACTTTATATTCCATTAAGGCCACTTATTTTGTATCTTACATATAAATTTTGAACCCAAGGTAATTTCAATAATGTGCTGATGCATGCCCTTAATCCCAGCACTCAGAGAGGAGGCAGGTGAATCTCTGTTTTCAAGGCCAGCCTGTTCTACATAGTGAGTTCCAGGACAGCCAGGACCAAGTAGGAGGCCCTGTATCAAAAAAAAAAAAAAAAAAAAAAAAAAAACCTAAATTTACTAATTTATTTTTGGTGGAATTTTAAAAAGAAAACATAAAGCAAAAAGAAACTAATTAGAAACAGCAGTAAAACAAGAAGAAATGCTTTACCTACTGGCCTCCGTAGAGCTCAGAGAAAAAAATAATCAGAATTAGGAATTAAAAACTCATAAGAAACTAAAAGAATGCTTCATCAACATTTTCTCCAAAAAGCCTATTCACCTGATTTACAGTGGACCTACTTACATACACATGACCTTGCAACAATAATTTGTGCTGAGAGGAGTGGTGCACAGCCTTTTTTGCACTGTAGATCCTTTTTTTCCTACTGCTTCTGGTTCCCTTTGAGACAGGGTTTTCTATGTAGCCCTGACTATTCTAGAATGCACTATGTAGACCAAGATGGCCTCCAAAGCACAGAGATTTGTCTGCCTCTGCCTCCTGGGTGCTGGGATTAAAGGTCTGTGCCACTACTTCTTCCCACTTGCTACTGGTCTAATTCCTCTACTGTCATGACACCCATTTGATAGCCTGCATGAAGTTGCTCTCTGCCATGTCTTCCGCAGCACACTTTCACAGACTAAACTGATGCTCAAAACAACCCAGTTTGGAGGAATCCTCATGATGTTCTTTTTTTTTTTTTTTTTTTTCGAGAGGGGTTTTCTCTATGTGTTTGGGGCTGTTTCCCTGGCCCCCCCTCGGGAGACCGGGCTGGCTTTGACCTCACAGAGACCCCCCTGCCTCTGCCTCCCGAGGGCTGGGATTAAAGGCGTGCACCACCAACGCCAGGCTTCATGATGTTTTTTGTGCAGAAAAAGAAATCAAGGCACAGAGGTCAGAAGGATGCCCATGGAGTTTCAGTTGATAGTTAACAGCAGCCTGGATGGAAGACTGTGACTGGGGTCTGTGTGCTCTTGGATCTGCATGCTCTTAGGTCTGTGTGCTCCTGGATCTGTTTGTTCAGAGTTTACTTATGGCCTTGCTGCTCTGTCTCACTGCCTTTCCAATAATATCAGCACTAATTACTGGCAGGATTTGTTAGATAATGACATTTATGAGCACTGGTTGACATATATAAAAGAAAAATGAAAATCACCCATGATTTCATTATCAAGCAGTAACTATGAGGGAGTGGCTGAAGAGATGGCTCAGCGCTTAAGAGAACTGGCTGTCCTAGAGAACTCAGGATCAGTTCCCAGAATCCACATGGAGGCAACAATAATCTGTAACTCCAGTCCTAGAGAGTCCAATGTCTTCTTCTGCCCTCTGAGGACACCATACACATGTGGTTCACAGAAATGTAGGCAAAACACCCATTTAAATAAAATTAAAATAAGTAAATCTTTTTTAAAGTACCTGCAATTGTTTAATCATATGCTGAGTTCTTCAAACACAATGGCTAGCAAACTTCCTTTATTGTTTTTGTTATTTAAAGATATAATTAAAACTTTTAAATTATGTATATGTGTGCCTGTGTTTGAGTATGTGCATGTGTGTTGGAGTGGCTGCAGAGACCAGAAAAAGGTGTCAGATCCCTGAGTTGGAGTAACAGGGATTGTGAGTCACCCCATGTGGGTGCTGAGAACTGAACTCAGATCCTCTGCAAGAGCAGCAAGCATTCTTTTTTTTTTTTTTTCTTTTTCTCTCTTATACTACATCCCTACTGTTGCCTTTTCTCCCTCCACCTCTCCCAGTCTCCCGCCACCACCACCATCACCACTGTTAGGAGTCCCACAAAAAACCCAAGCTAAACAACTACAACGTATATGCAGAGGACCTAGCAAAGACTCATGCAAGCTTCATAACTGCTACTTCAGTCTCTATGGCCCCTATGAGCCCTGCTTAGTTGATTCTGTGGGCTGTGTTCTCCTAGTGCCCTCAACCCCTCTGGCTCCTACAATCCTTCGTCCCCTTCTTCTGTAGGGTTTCCCAAGCTCTGCCTAGTGTTTGACTGTGCATCTCTGCATCTGCTCCCATCAGCTGCTGGAGGAAGCCTCTCTCACAACTGGGCTAGGCACCAATCTATGAGTATATCGGAATATCACTTTTAGGGATCATTTAAAATTATTATTATTATTATTATTATTATTATTATTATTATTGTTGTTGTTGTTGTTGTTGTTATTATTATTTTGCCAGTCGTGTTTTGTTCTATTTTAGGTCTCTGGGCCTTACAGTTTCCAGTTCCTGGCCAACCAGGCAGTGTCTAGCATGAGCTCCCTCTCATGGCAAGGGCCTCAAGTTACACCAGTCATTGGTTGGCCACTCCTACAAGCTGTGAGTCACCATTGCCCCAGCACATCTTGCCTAGTCTGGTTACAGAGAATGGTCGATTCAGGCTTCATATCCCTCCTTTACTGGGAGCCCTTGCAAGGGGCATCCTCATAGGTTCCAGGTCATTTCCACTGTACTAGTTTTTCACATCACCCCCAAAGTGCCCCCCAACTCCTGTCATCTCGCCCTGTATTCTCTCCCTCCTTCCCTCCCTCCCTCCTCCACCTGATCTTTCCTGTTCCCATTTCCACCCACCTCCAATCCACTCACAAAATCTATTCTATTTCCCCTTCCCAGGGAGATCCATTTGCCCCTCCCCCCAACTTCTGAGCCCTCCTTGTTACTTAGCTTCTCTGGGTCTGTGGATTGTAACGTCATTATCCTTTACTTAATAGCTGATGTCCACTTACAAGTGAGTACATGCCATGTTTCTCTTTCTGAGTCTGGGTTGCCTCGCTCAGGATGATTTTTTTAATAGTTCCATCCACTTGCCTGCAAATTTCCTACTGACTCCATAAATATAGATCCATATTTAATCACCCTGCACAAAACTCAAGTCACGTGGGTCAAAGACCTCAACATAAAACCAGATACACTGAACCTGATAAAAGAGAAAGTAGGGAATAGCTTTGAACCCATTGGCACAGAAGACAACTTCCTAAACAGAACTCCAATAGCTTAGGCACTAAGATCAACAATTAACAAATGGGACTTCATGAAACTGAAAAGCTTCTGTCAGGCAAAGGACACTGTTAATAGGACAAAATGACAACTTTCACTTGTTTGGTTAGAGTTACACTAAGATATTTTATATTGTTTGGGGCTATTGTGAATGGTGTTGTTTCCCAGATTTCTTTCTCAGTCTATTTGTCATTAGCATGTGGGAGGACTACTGCATTTTATTTATTTATTTGTTTATTTATTTATTTGAGTTCATCTTGTATGCAGCCACTTATGTATACTATCATATCACCTATAAATAATGATACCTTGACTTCTTCCTTTCCAATTTGTATCCCCTTGATCTCAGCTGTCTTATGGCTCTAGCTAGAATTTCAAGTGTTATTATCGAATACATATAAAGAGAGGGAACAACCTTGTCTTGTTCCTGATTCTAGTGGAATTGCTTTGTGTTTCTCTTCACTTAATTTGATGTTGGCTATAGGCTTCCTGTAAATTGCCTTTATTGTGTTTAAGTAGGTTCCTTGTATCCCTAATCTCTCCAAGACTTGCAGCAAGCATTCTTCACACTTAGCCATCTGGCCAGCTGCTGTTTGTTTCATTGAGATGGGATCTTCTTACACAGTTATGGCTGAGCTGGTACTCACTACATAGCCTATGGTGGTCTCAACTCATAGCAATCTTCTTTCCTCAGCCTCCCATGTGTTAAGATAAATAAGGGTGTGTTGTAACACCTAGCCACACCTCCTTATAGTTGGGTCAAACTATAGCTATCATTAAAAAAAAACTGTTTTAGTGAAATATAGTCCTCATGTTGTATAATTCACCCATTTAAAACATATGAATTCAGAGATCTTTAATACCTTTGCAGAATCTTATAACCATCACTGTAATCAGTTTTGGAATACCATCTGGGGGTGTAGCTCTGTGGTAGAGCATGTGTTTAGCATGCATAAGACACTGGGTTCCAACTGGGTGTTGCATACCTTTAGTCCCAGCACTCCAGAGGTAGTGCAGGTGGATCTCTGTGAGTTCAAGGCCACGCTGGTCTACATAGTGAGTTCCAGGACAGCCAGCATGACATAGAAGACAAGCAAGCAAACAAACGAACAAATGACAGTGGGTTCAATCACAGGTACTACCGACAAAGATACAAACAACAAGAACAAAAATAACAAACAAGCAAATAAAACCCACCCAAATAATGTTAGGTTATTTCCATTATTCCTCCCAAACATCTCCATGAACAAACCTTGCCCTCTGACTTCTGCTTTTAGGTAACTTCACCTGTGTTCTGTCTCAATAGACTTTTATGTTCTAAACATCTCACATAAACAAATCATACAGAATGTGGTATTTGTGACCAGTTTCATAAACAACATGCTCTCAGAACTTGTATGAAGACTCCATTCCACACAATATTTCCTTATATGGATAGGACATTTTGTCAGCCATCCTTTTGTTGATGGACACTGGGGTGTTTTCTGCTTTGGGGGAGTGTGTAAAGATGCTGTGACCATTTGTGTATACATTTTTGTGTGGACATATGTTTTCATTCTCCCAGAAATGCATGCCGACTCATATCATAATTGTATGTTTAACTTGTTGAGGGACCTCCAGACTGTTTTCCAAGGCAGCCGCACCCTGATGACATTCGTACCAGCAATGTGTGAGGGTTCTGACGTCTCTCCATCCTTGTCACTCTATCTGATGTCTGCCATTTGGTCCTAGAGGGATGAAGTGCTGTCTCACTGTGGTTCTGCTTTGAACATCACTGAGTATTTCATGGGATCGTCTGCCATTTGTATATCCGTGAGGAAATGTTTAAACACCTCCATTTTAGATATTGGGTCAGGTGTGGAGGTACACACCTTTAATCTCAGCACTCTGGTGGCAGAGGCATAATGGTCTCTATGATTTCCAGGCCAGATTGGGCTACATGGGGAGTTCCAGGCCAGTCAAGGCTACATAAAGAAACTGTCTCTCAATAAAACAAAACAAAAGGCCCAATAACCAATAGATAATTAAAACTGAGCTTTTTGTTGTTGAGGTGTGTGTGTGTGTGTGTGTGTGTGTGTGTGTGTGTGTGTGCACGAGAGCGCCATATGTGCGGAAGTCAGAGGATAACTTGTAAGAATTGGTTCTCTTCTTCCACCCTGTGAGTCCCATACAAGTCAGTATCAGATTTCTGGTTGACAGTATTTTCACCCACTCTGTGGGTCAGCTCTTCATTTTCTTGATGCTTTCCTTTGAAGCATAAAAGGTTCCAATTGTGATGCAGTTCAGGTCATCATGTTTTTGTCTTTGATTCTTGTGCTTTTAGACTCATGTCTCAGAAAGGTCAGGCCTTAACTTCAACAAAATATTTTAAACACCTTAAAATCATATAAGATAAGACAATTAGTATTCCTGTTTTGCATATCGTAGTTCATCACAGACATCATACCTAAAAATGCCCTCCCAAATTTTACTTTAAATTATCGGGCTTTATCAAGCCTCCAGAGACTTGGCAGTATTAAAAAAGAAGGCAAGGAAACACTGCAGAAAAAATCTTCAAGACATCTTTGGAGATGGCTCAGCAGTTGAGAGCAATGGCTGCTTTTTTAGAGGAGCCTGGTTTGGCCCCCAGCACCCACTGGGAGGCTCACAACCTACCTACCACTCCAGAGCATCCAAATCCTTTTTCTGACTTCTGTGGACACCAGGCACACACATGATGCACAGACATACATATTGTTTTTAACTTTGCAGTGATTCAAAACAAACAACAACAACTAAAAACAAAACCAAACAATACTTCAAGCACTCTACCTGCCACCAAATAGATTAAATTTCTATTTAAAAAGCAAAATAGTTACATTATAAAGTAGACAGTAGAGAAAAAGAACAAAGCTCTCATGCTCATTACCCTAAATGCCATCATTATCTTTTCCATGTATTTTCTTCTGGTACTTTTAAAAAAAGTATGTCTTTGAAGAATTGCAACAATAGATATGGCAAGTTTTGTTGTTCTTGGGGCTGAAGAGGTGGCTCAGTGGTTGAGAGCACTGACTGCTCTTTCAGAAGACCAGGCCTAAACTCCTAGCACCCACATGGTGGCTCACACCTAGGTAACACCAGTCCCAAGGGATCTGACACCCTCTTTTAGTCTCTAAGGGTGTGATGCACAGACACCCACACACATAAAATGAAAACATTTTTTTAAAAATTACATTCTGTTACAGTTTTACCCACTGCCAGGCATTCTATGTTTCTCTCTAGTTTTCTCCACACTTATTTATACCAACATAGAATATACCAAACGAGTGTATTATAGCATGCTTTTACTAAATAGTTGGGTCTTTTTCAGGGTTCTTCTGCTTTCCACTTTTTCCACTGTGGACAAAGCATACGTGAATATTTTTCTTGCTTGCAGCTGTTTCCTTGTTTGACAATATTTCTTTCCTGCAATTATATTGCTAAATTAAAATTACAAACTTATGTGTGCCTCCTAAATATTGCCAACTTACTTTCCAAAATGTCTGCATTGTTTTGATATGATATTGCTAATGATTGCTGATGTTTTTTCCCCTCAGGGGAGGTTATGAATGTAGTCACCCACTGCCACAAATTATGCAGTTCAGTTTCCCTAATTTGGGAAAACCATAGGGGTCAGCACATCCCACATGCAATGGGTGAGCCTCCCCCTACGAAAGCTACCATCCTGACCATGATATCTCCCTTGTTAGGAAAGTATGATGGGGATATTTTAATTATCCTTCTTTAAAAAATACCTTACTAGCCAGGTGGTGGTGGTGAATGTCTTTAATCCCAGCTCTTGGGCGGCAGAGGCAGGCAGATCTCCGAGTTCAAAGCCATCCTGGTAAACAGTATGACCAAGACAGCCAGGGCTACACAGTGAAATCTCGTTTTGTCTCAAAAACAAACAAACAAACAAACAAACAAACAGACACATAAAAACAACAAAAACCTTGCCAACTTGATTGAGAATAAGAGGGTGTCTTGTGTTTGAATCTGATTTCATTTTATCACTACTTAGATGACACTTAAGGCATCTCTTCTTAGCTGGACCTTGTAGCCTTATTTCCTCTTAACTATTATTAATGTGAGCATCACTCAGACTTGTCATACATTAAATATGTAGCTACCTATATCTAAACATTAATATTTCAGGGGATCCATTTCTTCAAAGTTTCATTTCAACAGGGAATTTATGTTTGTAACTTTGCCATAAAAATATAACTCTAATAAATTTTTTCCTGTACCTGCTAAACCAAGGCCTACAAGGTAGGGAGAATTTCTTCTCCTGTAGACAAAAAGAAGGGCAAATGAGGTGAAAAGACAGATTAGCAAAAAGGCATGTTCTTAAAGACAAGGTACTATTATGCCTTGATATTGTTCATGTTAAAATTTTATAGCCAAGTTCTCATCATTTTATATTCATCTTTTAGTATGTAATTATTTTAAATATAGACTATTATTCTAATTATCTCTAATTAAAAGCACTTTCATATATCAATGTATATTCTAACAAAAAGGAGCTTTGAATTCATTCCATTTTATAATACAGTCTCCAGTTCTCTGAAGTAATTTTATATGTAGGCAGTAACTCTTGGGGTGTTCCTTTAGATAAGCTATGAATTTTAAAACTAACTCACATTTTTATTTTATTGTCCTACAGAAATAAATGCTAGAGGACTTTTCACTAAGTGTTTTGGGCCTTCATTAAGTTCTTTTCTTTTATCTGATTCGGTGCATGCTGCTTCCAATGAATACTAAATACTCCTATCTGGAGGTAGATTCACCACAGCCTAATTATCATTACTATTCCATTAGCCAGGTAGTCCTCTGAGACCACAAGAATGTGTCCTGTTATTTTCAGTTGTGGTCAGTCATCAATCCATGGAATTAATGCACAATTAAGCCAAGTCATGAATATCCTTATTCAGATGGCTCATTTGAAAAATAAAAAAACTAGACTTAAGAAGCATTTAGGGCAATTTTAGAATATAGATTTTCTTATTCCATTTGAAAAGAGCACAACAGAAGTTTCCATCGCAGTACCTGCTTCTTCCTACTCAAGTGTGACCCCCTTGGCATCTGCACTTAGAGGGCTCTGAAGGTGGGAACCTATTTGGATAATGATGAGGGCAAGTCCATTCCACCTTTTCAGCTCCACCTCTCCTCCGTTATTACACTCTCCCTTCCCTGTTGTTGGTCCTTCCTTCCTTCCTTCCTTCCTTCCTTCCTTCCTTCCTTCCTGCCTATTACCACCTTAATAGCATTAAGGACCCTGTTTGGGTTTCAATGGGAATGTTTCCCAGTGGCTCATGTGTCTGAACTCCCAGTCTCTAGCTAGTGGTACTGTTTTGAGGGTTGTGAACCTTTGGAAAGAGGAGCTTTGCTGAATGAAGTGGGTCACTGGGAGCCACCTCACTTCCCATCCTCGCTCTGCTTCCCGATTGCAGATGTGATGTAACCAGTGCTCACGACCTGGCTGCATGCTTTTCTCACCTGGGAGGACTGTATCCTCTAAAACTTTAAGCCAAACAAGCCCTTTCTTCCTCACATTGGTTCTTGTCAGGTGTTTGGACATAGTAACAAGAAAAGCAATTCATGTAGTGTATATCTTCTCTTGGCACCCTTCACTCTTCTCCTGCCCCTTTGAATACTGCCAACAGCTTGTTTCTCTCTACCCTATTCTTTTCATAGTAACATTTCTTATTTCTATTTTCTTGCATTATCAAAATAACTTACTTCCATTATAAAATCTGCAAAAACAAGGAAGAAACAGAAAGTAATGGGAGCTAATTGTTATTCCAGCTTTCAGAGGAAACTATTGAATTATTATTGTATTTCCCTTATGTCTTAACATAAAAAAGCCAAACACCTGCTTGATGGTGGGTGTTTGTTCTGCCAGCTAGAGGCAGAAGATGATAACTTTAAGGTTTCTCAAAGCAAAATGTTAAAAACAAAACAAAACAAAAATACCCAAACCCAACAAGTTCAAATCAGGTTCATAGTAGATACATTTTGTAGCTAGCTTTTCAGTTCACATTCACCATTAGCACTTTGCCTGTAATTTGTGTGAAATTTTAAATAGTCTATTGCAACAACATTGGAGTATTGAGAAAATTAGAATGAAGTCACTCATTGTTTTATCATTTCAAGATGATCACTTTTAAAAGTTTCGATAAATTTCTGGCCCTTCCTCCTTTATCTCTCAAATGCTCTAACACTGAGCTATATTTGCTACCAAGAATATGACAATAATTGCTCTATCTGCATGTATACCTTATGTCAGAAGAGGGCATCAGATCCCACTATAGATGGTTGTCAGGTACCACGTGGTTGCTGGGACTTGAACTCGGGAAGAGCAGCCAGTGTTCTTAATCACCGAGCACCACCCTCCCTCATCACCCTTTGCTTTTTCGACACAGGTTTTCTCTGTGAAACATTCCTGGCTGGCTGTCCTGGAACTCACTCTGTAGACCAGGCTGGGCTCAAACTCACAGAGATCCATCCATCTGCCTCTGCCTCCCAAGTGCTGGGATTAAAGGTGTGCACCACCACCAACTGGCTGGCTCCACTGAGCCATCTTTCTAGCCCTGAATATGACTTGTTTGTTTGTTTGTTTTTCGAGACAGGGTTTCTCTGTGTAGCTTTGGAGCCTATCCTGGCACTCACTCGGCAGACCAGGCTGGCCTCGAACTCACAGAGATCTGCCTGCCTCTGCCTCCCGAGTGCTGGGATTAAAGGCATGTGCCACCAACGTGCAGCTGAATATGACATTTTTAAAAGACAGAAAATTGGGCTGGTGAGATGGCTCAGTGAATAAAGATGCTTGCCACCAAGCTTGGTGATCTCATTTAATCTCTGGAATTCACATGGTAGAAGGAAGAGAAATGACTCTTGAGAGTTGTCATTTGACCCCTACAGGCATGTTGTGGCATGTGCACTATTACTACTACTACTACTACTACGACGACGACGACAACGACAATGACGACGATGACTACTACTACTATACACACACACACACACACACACACACACACACACACACACACACACACAGAGTGCAGTCACACAAATAGATTTTTAAAAAGCAAAGAGTAGTAGATCATAGGCTATACATATTTTGTGTCCTTGAGTACAGTAAGTCTTCTGTGACTCAAACAATCAAAAATGTAAAATATTTTAAAAATTTGTGTCAGTAGCGAACACATATAAACTCTTTTGGCCACTGTTTGTTCAGAAGTAAGTACAGCATTTTCACAGTGGTAGGCATTATAAGCAATCTGGAGGTAACTTACAATGCAGGCAGGCTAAATGTAAATCCTATGCCTCTTCATGTGAGTGTTTGAAGCATCTGAAGACTCTGGTATTCACAAAGAGTGGGGATGGCTCTTGGAATCAATTCTTTATTCACATCCTGGAGGAATATACTTAACCACATTCTGAGTTTGGGGGCAAAACAACAAACTGGACAGAAAAGGCCTTTGCACTCTAGATCTTATAGTTTAGTGGAGAGAAAGACAGCAAACAAATAGAATTGGTAGATATTGATACCATGCCCTTTATATAAAGCAAGGAGAGAGTACTAGCTCTTTGGTGTAGGTTGATCAGATAGAGGAAACTCCCTAATGAAAAACCTACACAAAAACACTGCATTATTTTTTTCTGGAATTTGTGTTGTTAGTGGTTTATTTCAGTGTTGTGTTTAGCATACAAGTTTTTCATCTTAAATATTTGTTTTATACTTGTGTTACTCCTCACATTTTATTTTCCCTCTTCCTGCTCCACCTCTTCCTCCTTGTTTTCCTCCTCTCCTTTCTTCCTCTTTTTGGAGATAGTCTTATTCTGTAGCCCTAGCTGGCTTGGTACTTGCTATAAGCTCAGGGGAGCCTTGAATATACAGCCATCTTCTAGCCTTGGTCTCCTGGACCAGGACTACACACCACCACGCCAGGCTTACGTCACTTTTCTTTAAAGGGTTCCTAAATTGTACTGCTTTGGGCATCAGGAATCATTATCTACTGCCAGGCTGTAAGTGGGACTAAGAGACAAAACTCCCCTAAGGAGGTATTTGAGTGGATGGACAGTCACCGGCTCTGCCAACCAGAAATCTAGTCTTACCCACATACCACAGAGATCCAGGCGGGTGTAGGATCTGGAGGCCCTAGGTACATGTAAAAGCAAGAAGGGAAAGGGGGTGGGTTGATTATGTGCATAATAAACTGTTATATTTCAGATCCTGGTGTCTTTGGTATGTGCCGGAGACCTGTCCTGTCCCTCCCCACCCTGGAAGCTTCGTTTCCGGAAACCTATTCTATGAGCTATCATTATCAGTAATTTCCCTTCTTCTGACACCTCTTTTATTTCCCAACAAGTCAGAGACTTCTGAAAATGAAACGTCTGCTTGCCTTCAGATAAGCCCCTTTGTGCAACCACACGTTAGTTTATTCCTTAACTTAAAGAAATTTGAAACCAGACCAATTTCTGCAGAAAGTCGATGATAGGAAGGCAGTCAGGAGATGACAGGAATTAAAGTCTGGGTCCTGCTGAGTCCTTAACATTCTGTTAGAGATGTTTGCTTGGCAGACTCCCAGCCTGGATGCTAGGCTGAATACCCAAGGATGTGGCAGCATTCGAAACGCTACACAGGATGTTCATTTGCTGGTCCAGATAAATAGTGATAGACTTAGCATTACTCATTTTGCTACTTTTGAGTCT